ATTGAAGACATCCATTGAATAGCCTCGTAATTTGGTTTGGGATTATCTTACATACTGCTTTCAGTACGTTGCTCTCAACAAGATCTAGCCCAGGTGCCTTGTTGTTTTTGAAGCGTTTAACCGCCCTGGCCACTTCTAGCCCTGTGAAGAGTGGGGCGTCGGCCGTATCTGGCGCTATGTTTGCTTCTACCCTGATATCTCGCTGTTCGGGTGTATCCTCTTCTTCACGGTCATCTGGAACGTGTACATTTAATAGGCGTCTTGCCGTTTCTTCCACGTCCATTGTGAAGCAATCGCCCCTTCTGAGCGTGCTTATGACCTTCTCTACTCTCAGCTTATTTGCTTGTTGCTTGTATATAAAGCCCCATGGCTCCTTGTTACCATGGCTTGTGACAAATTCTGTCCAACTGTCTCGTTTTGCCTTTCTAACCTCTTGGCTATATTGTCGCAGTGAGGTGCGATATTGCTCTTTAGTGCTCTTAGGACTCTTTGGCTTCTTGGCCTTTTGGCATTCTCTTCTGAGGCGTGTGACCTCTTTCTTTTTAATAGTCAACTCCTTTGTCCACCACGGGTTGGACTTCCTGAATACTCTTTTCCTGGGCATTGACGCCTCGCAGGCTTGGGCGATGACACCCTGAAGTATTCCAGCCATTCTTTCTACATCTACGGCAGAAGACAGGTCTAGGACCTCGAGCTTTGACTTTGATAAGTCAGCTAGATTTTCAGCAAAGCACTCCCAGTCAGCCCGACGAGTGTCGAACCTCGTGTTTGCGCCACGCTGGTCGTCATGCCTTGCCTTAGGTACCTTTAACCTGATGTCTATTGCATTGTGATCGCTGGTTGTCCAGTCGCACCTTACCACCCATTCGTTGATGAAGCATGCCATTGAAGGCGATGCTAGGGTTACGTCGATATATGACGACCCTCTTATCGTTTTGAATGTTGGTGCCTGGCCAGCTTTGTTCACTACCTGCATGCCACACGCACGGATGAGGTCTTCGAATTTGCCTCCTCTATCGTCGGTCCTCTGGGGACCCCACATTGATGAGCGTGCGTTGGCGTCTACCGCGACTAAGAGTCTCTGCCCCCTCAGTTTATGAATCACCATCTCGAGGTGTCTGAGGTGCCCCTCTATCTCGTCACTGTACTGAAAGTAGCACGATGCAACGTAGAAGGAGAAGCCGGGAGCCTGCACTTCTGCGCACACGCAGTGGGTCGTGCTAAGCTGCGAGACAAGTATAACCTGGATCTGGGGATTGCATACTGCTACCATTGCCCATGGTTTTTGCGAGCGTATAGCCGCTACGCGCATTCCCGTTCCCAATCCGTAGAAGGTGTGGCTCTCGCTTTGCTTTCTGACATATGGTTCCTGCAATAGCAGGACGTCAAGTCGCTTCTCTGCGACGAGCTGGCGCACCTCACCTGTTACTGTGGCCGATCGCCTCATATTTAGCTGTAATATCCTAATTCCCGTGGTCTCGACACATGAGGATGTTTGCGGGATTGCGACTGGGCTGGTCGCTCTTCCCGTGGACGAAACTTGGCTTCGTTTTGATGCTTCTCTATCGCATCTTTCTAGCACGATACGTGCAGTTCGTGAGCTTTTGTGGGTATGACCTCGTTCTGGGTCAATTACCTCTTTTGAGGTTTGTCTATCCGTGTAAGTTTGCGGGATTGCGACTGGGCTGGTCGCTCTTCCCGAAGACGAAGCTTGGCTTCGTTTTGTCATGATTTTATCGCATCTTTCTAGTCTGATGCAGGCAGCTCGAAGGCTGTTCTTGTGACTTGGCGACTCCGACTTCGAACTCGAGGTCGGTCTTTTCTCCGTGGTCGCGTCACATCTCTGTAGTGTAATTTTGACTGTCCGGGGGCATAGTTCTTGAGCTCGATGGCTCGGGTTTTTGTTTGTATCTTGATCCATATGCGTTTGTTCTATGGTGGAAAAGATGTCGGAAGGCGCGGAGCCACCTTCGCGCCATCAAACCTAACCTTCCCGGGGGGGCGGTAGATACCCCGGGGGTGTCGCTTGCGACCGCTCTCTTAACATTCCAGCGGCCATGCAGACTATCAGCACGACTTCCAATACGACCTTAGCCTTGGAACGAGCGCCATTACTTGGACACGCCTACCAATGAACCAGTACAGACTAGAGTTATTAACCAACGATATTATGTTGGAATGTGTGAAAGAG